ATGCTGCTGATTATTTCATGCTGCTGATTATCCATGCTGCTGATTATCCATGCTGCTGATTATCCATGCTGCTGATTATTTCATGCTGCTGTATTCATTCGTTCTCATCTACTCACGCAGACTCAGGTTCGTGCTGCTGTTCTCAGCATATTGTTTAATACTTACCGTATATCTTGGTTTATATCTTAGATTTTACCGTTTGTTTTAATACTTGATATTTTTCTATTGCTGGATGTAACTGGGCCCTGAGTACACAGCTTGGTTCCACCTCATGTACCACATGTGATGAAATGACAATCAAACCTAACGGAACTGGACTCAAAAGAAAGAAAGAATCTTGATTTGACTAGTGTCTCCCCCTTGTGGTCATTATTGTATCGCGCGCACACGCAACTATAAAAGCATTACGCAGTTAGTTATTTTATCTTTGTGCTCCAAATCAAACTGGATTCATTTTGTGTGAAACCCATTCCCGCCACTCTGATAAAATAAAAATAAAAACCTCCACATCCTAACTCTGAAATACCGTCTCAAAACCATGACTTATGGGACATAATAGTACGATTGTAGTATTTTACGTTTATGATTTAGTTGAATTAAAACGTCGGAAATGTTCTTCACAGTTCAGTGGAACATTTTAAAACATTTCTTTATTTTTCGTAGCGTCGCTGTCTAATGGCGGCCCACTGCGCATGCGTACAACCGTAAACCTTTTAAATGTCTTTCCTGGCGCGCGACCGAGCTGTTGCGAGGGGCGATCGGATCGGGCTCGCGCGCGCAGGAAGGCGGATGACCGCCACGGAGTCCCGTCACGGAGTCCCGTCACGTCACGGATCCGCAGCGAGATTAAGATGCTGAGGAGAAAGGGGGACTTCTTCTTCTCCGGTCACGACACGTCGCTTGTTCCCGTGGAGGCTGCACGCGCCATGGCAGCCCTCTGGACGTCGTCCGCGGCGCTTCAAAGGGATTTTGTGTAGCCACGCCCTTCTCTCCGACTCCACTGACAGCAAAGACACGAGGTAGGTTTCAGGCTCCGTGGGGCCGTGGGCTCTGGTCTCACCCACCTCTAACCCCCTCTGTCGCGTGGACGCGCCTGAGTAGAGTGCTGTGCGCGCTGAAGCTGCAGCTGTCTGTCAGGAGGTTGTTGTTCAATGAACCCGTCTGTGCGGGCGCCATGATTAAACCCTGGTTGTTGGAATGCCTATCGCCCGCCGACCTCCTCCTCAGGATGAAGGATGAGGAATCAGCTGGTGAGGCCCAACCTTGAAAGTAGCATGCGCAGTCTCTAAATGTCGTGATGTGTTTGCGCATGGAGCGCGTGCTGTGAATGACCCCCAGCTACTACCACTCCACATTTGAGCTCCATCCCTTCAGACGCGCAGGTTACCTGCTTTAACTTGGCTGTGGCGGCCATCTTCTTGGGTTCACTCCAAAACTGGCTCACTTAGAGCTGTTGCCTCTCAGCAAGAAGGTCACTGGTTCAAATCCTGGCCCAGGACCTTTTCTGGGTGGAGTTTGCATGTTCTCTCCGTGCCGCTGGTTTTCTCCCACAGACCAGAAACATGCATGTTAGACTAACTGGTAACTCTAAACTGTCCCTGGGTGAGAGAGAGTGAATGGTTGTTTGTCTCATTTGTCCCTGTGTGTCTCTGTGATGGACTGGAGACCTGTCCAGGGTGTCCCCCACCTCTCACACAGTTGTGGCTGGATATGGGCACCAGTGACCCCTGCCACCCTAAAAGGAAGAAGTGGGTGTGTGGATGAATAGACGGATGGATGGTGGATGGGTGGATGGATGGATGGTGGATGGTGGATGGTGGATGGATGGATGAATGGTGGATGGATGGTGGATGGATGGTGGATGGATGGATGGATGGGTGGATGGATGGATGGTGGATGGATGGATGGATGGATGGTGGGTGGATGGTGGA